TTTTTTTTTCCTCCAGGCCCTGGTTACAGGGAGGTGCCTTGAGTTGTCCCTGCAGCCCGTTCCCCTAGGCACGAGCACCTCCGTGGAGGAACAAACAGGTCCCGGGGGGGGTTACGGGATGAGGAGGTGACCCGACCCCTGCTCGGGGTTGTGCCCATGCTCTTCCTGGTGAAGTGGCACAGAGGATGTGTCAGGGACACTTGACTCTTTAGTCTGGCCTTTGTAGTAAAGCCTGTCTGTCCCCCCGCCCCGTCCTCCCCTAATAACTCCGGGATGATGCATCGCCCTTCTCGCTTTATTTTTCAGAACCGGATGCATGAGAGTATGAAACTGTTCGACAGCATTTGCAACAACAAATGGTTTACAGACACATCGATCATTCTCTTCTTGAACAAGAAAGACCTGTTTGAGGAGAAGATTAAGAAAAGCCCACTAACGATCTGCTACCCAGAGTACACAGGTAAGGCTGGGCTCGTGAAGCTGCGTCTTTGTTGCCGGGGCCAGGAATGAGTCAGTCAAAGCCGACACAACCCGAGACAACCTAACAGCTTATCTTCTTCCCTGTTCCCTTAACTCTTGTCTCTTGGGCAGCATCTTTGGGCTGTCAAAGTTAGCTGATAGCTCATTTTCTCGGAAGAGGTGAGGCCATGCATGCCTTTGGTTCCGAACAGCCTTTGTCCGTGTGTTTTATGGCCTGGAGTACGAATAGCAGAGTCCTGCACGCCACCAAATTGAGGTCACTCCGCGTTTTCCACATGTTATTAGGACAATACTTTTCATTTATCTTCAGTTTTAGAGGCTACGAAACTTATCCGCGTCCTGGGTATGGCACTTGGTCACCCTGGTGTGTCTGTGTTGCAGCCCTTCCCTGCCATCGCCCCGCAGGGACGTGGTGCTTCACCTAGTCACTGCCCAAGTGTTCCCTCCTCCAAACCTGCTTATTCCTGTCATTTGTCACTCTTCTGCTATAACTACATGTTTCTAGCATGAAGCGTTACTGTAGCCAGCGCGCCACGTTCCCTTCTGGCGATCTCTGGGCAGGGAGCAGTGGGTGAGCCGCAGGAGCGAGCGACACGTCCAAGGTCACTGACCAGAAGCTGGGAATAGACTTCGGATCTACAAGAAGGGGTTAATGGTGGATTTGGATTTGTAGCTGGATAAGGCAGATGGTTGCAAGCAGCTTAATATGGACTTAAAAGATCTCTCCGCTGTGAACTGCTGGCCGAAGTAAGGGATCTTATCTTTTTCAGGCTCCAACACGTACGAGGAAGCAGCTGCGTACATCCAGTGTCAGTTTGAAGATCTGAACCGGAGAAAAGACACCAAGGAGATCTACACACACTTCACCTGTGCCACTGACACCAAGAACGTGCAGTTTGTCTTTGATGCTGTTACAGATGTTATCATTAAAAACAACCTGAAGGAATGCGGGCTCTATTGAGAAGGAAGGGGCGTGGGAAGAAGGTAAAGCTGAGCCGCTCGGCCGCTCGTAGCGTTGAAGCGTTGCACGCCAGCTCGGGCTGGCTTTGCCTTGCCACCTCGCTAACGCTCGCTGTTTTTCTTTTCAGTTTTTATGACGCGGCGTTTTGAGAACCAGACTCTTTGCTGCCTCGTGGGGACAGCTGCAAGCATGAACAGGACCAGGGAAACGAAAACAGCATGCAGAATCGTTGCATTCTTTAGCACAATCTTCTGTATTAGGGACCTTTTTTTATTGATGTGGGATGTTGAAGTTAGGTCAAGATGGAACAACTGTTAGTGTGACTAGATCATCCTGGCGTCGTTTGGATGGCGTAATCTCAAATGTGTACAGCTGTTGTGAAGTTGAGGTGCTGGATTCCAGACCTTCGATATGTAGCTTTCTCTCTTTCTTTGGTTAACAAGCCACCACTAGTCTGTTTTTAAGGTTTTTTCCATCAAGAAAACTATAACTTTACTAGATTTTATTTCTTTATTTGCAAACGAATCTTGTTTTAAAAATAAAAAAACAACAACAAAAAAAATCACTTAACTATGCACATGTGACCAGATCATGCAGAAAGTATTCCTCTTAGCAGGAACTCTTTGTTTTTAACACTTGGTATGGTCGGGATTTAATATTTCTGCAACTACTTAAAGGATCCTTAGAGCTCTTATGGCGACGGCTTCGGCTTCTTCTGATGTGTAACTTGTAACCATCCTGCTACCGTAAGGCTTTTGAAAGAAGCTTCTGCAGCAGGATAAGCGAGTCTTTTTAGCTTGTGGTTAGGGGTGAACCTGGCTTATGTTGGTATCCGAATCGCGATTCGCTCTGCCTGGGGAGCATAAAGCCAGCTTCGCGGCGGCCCCGTACCCGGGCCGCGTCCGTCGGGGGGGATGGAATGCTGAGCTCCGAACCGCACGGGAAGCGCGCGCTGCTACAGAGCTGCTAAATCAACCACTTTAGATTCCTGTGCATTTTCGCTCTAAACCGGTGGGCGGTTTTGTAAAGGGTGCACCTCCTTCTGCATTTACCATGGCCTTTTTCTGTTCAGAGACTCCTAAACTGTATTGAGAAGCATGCCTTTACTTTGTATATGTGGTGCCAAACTCCT